GTCTTCGCTGCTAACGTTAGCAGCTAAGACGCTAACGTAACGTCTTTGCTGCTAACGTTAGCAGCTAAGATGCTAAGGTCTTCGCTGTTAACGTTAGCAGCTAAGACGCTAAGGTACCATCTTTACTGCTAAAGGTAGAGAAACTGCATCGGCGCTTGTTAATAAATACTTGCCTGAATACATGTGAGTTAGCCTGGCAAGCTTGTGGCGCCCCCCGTGGATGTCGGCGCCCTTAGCATTTGCCTATACAGCCTATGCCTAGGGCCGGCCCTGGGTGACACTGGTAGTATGGTTATAAGTTAGTTTATCTAATGTTGTGAAACTGCTCTACGTGTCTACTCTTGTTGTTGTAAAATGTGCAGCACTTATTCCACGAGTGATGTTTAGCCGCTAGCTATCACAGATTAGCTTGTTATTGTGACTTACTGATGCAGCTTAGTGCGATGAAACGTCGTCTTCATTTGCATGAAGTTAACAGAGCACCATAACATCAGTTTAAAAGTTCGCCTGCAGAAAAAAGCGAGTTTCTTTTACCTCAGTGATTTATTCTCCAGACGCTGCTGGAGAAGTAAGAAGCAGACAACAGGTGAGACTGGCTAGGTTCAATTCAAAGTGTTGCAGAGATGTGACAGACACACAACAGGTCCTGACAGCTGAGTAGAGAGCTTTACACCTTCATGACAAAACTTTCACACTCACTAAAAAAACAAGCTGTGGATGAATAAAATACAAATCAAGCATAAAAACTGCAACTCAAGGAACAAAAAGTACCAGAGGAAGGTAAATTCAGTTTTAATGTTGCTCTGACAACACGAATATTAAAGAATATTTTAATATTATATAGATAACACATACAGACATTATTTTGTGTCCTTTTTTCTGTTTAATTATTGCTAATTAATTTACAACTGAGGGGTTTGTAGGACAGAAGTTAGAACTTTACTGCATTATTATTGATATTTAAACTCATGACGTAAACTAATGTTAGCCTACAGTAGCTAAGAATTCAAGCTAGCTGGCTAGTGCTACTGACAGCTGCTACATCATAACATTAGTAGCTTAACGTAAAGTCAGCTAGTTAGCTAAAGCAGGCTGATGTAGCGCATTATTATTACACATATACAATATTAGCTTAAGTCAGATAGTTGGTTGCTGCTACATTAAGCTAATACACGTAGCATACTGTTGTATGCATAATCCAAAGTCAGCTAGTTAGCTAGTGCTACAGCAAGCTAATATAGCATACTGTTATTTGCATAATCCAAAGTCAGCTAGTTAGCTAGTGCTACAATGTTTTAATATAGCATAACATCATTAGCTTAACCCAAAGTTTGTTTAAAAAAATAAAATAAAATAAACATTTTTTATGCTTGTTAGCCATTATGTTGCTGTTAAATGATGTCCTACTCTTACATTTTCACATATTTAAAGATGTTTTTTGTTGTTGTTGTTGTTGTTCTGATCACTACCCAAGTCAATGCAAACTATGTAAAATATAATTTTGAAAATAAGTGTATTACCTGTCTGTGCTTTTGTTTCTAAGTGATATCAGGCACAATAATTTCCTTTAGGATTTAGAAAGTGTTATCTTATCCCCATTTTTTCACATACAAATATGCCAAAACATCAGACACATTTAAAGTAAACCAAGTGGGACCGTACCGTACCAGTCCAGTATCCGGACGGAGCGATAACACCAACAGCAGGCATGTTCTTATTGCTAACAGCCTTTTTTGCTGAATGAATACTGACAATTCAAACCCACCAGAGTGCACATGAACCTCTCAGCAGCAGCTTCAGAGTGGAGGTCAGGTGACCCATGAACTCAAAGTAAGCTCCGGCTGTCTTGCCCTCTCTGCTATCTGCTTTAGGTCATCGGCCTTTCTGATGAGTTAGAACATTTTCATGAGCTTTTCTGTCCATATCATCTACTGTATGGACATCCACTGCTGACATCTCTAGCAATCCATTTACTTTTTTTGAGGAAGAAAAGCAGCCACATCTGTATTCTGCAGCTGTCTGCTCTTTAGTATTCCATCAGTATGAACCCAGCGAGGTCCGGACAGCTCGCTGAAACCTGTCATCATATGGAATATCTCTGAGCTTCACTCTGTCTGGTCTTGCCATTACAACAAGAGCTGTGCAGCATGCAGCCTTCACTGGCCTGGATTTCTGAGTTAACTAAATACAGATGTGCTCAGCGCTGGAAAATCTCAAAGTCCAGCTCTGCTTCCACCCCCTTCTCTGATTGGCTGGTGGAGACGGCAGAAGTTAGGGGAGGAAGCGTTCTCCACCCAGCTGTAGTTTAGGTGTTACGAGGCTCCTTTTTGGCCATCTTTCTTTTCTTTCTTCAAAGACACCGGTGCGATGGCCTCGGCGCATGACAGAGCTGTACTCCAGGCTATATTCAACCCCAACACCCCCTTCGGAGACATTCCTGGCCTTAACCAAGAGGAGGAATTAATTGATGATGGTGAGCGTGAGCTTCTGACTTAATGTGTCTCCACATATCATGTCACAGCATATTGAATTTATTTGAACACGTTCCATTCCTGGGCTAAAAAAACATGACATTGTAATCCACACTGAGTTCTGGGTGACATTTCTGTGTTTTCCTTGCCACGGTACCTGTCAATTGAGTTTGAGTGCTTTTTCAACCTGTTTATCTCCTCCTGCCAGACAGTGGCTTTGACACAGAGTTGCTGAAGCAAGTGAAAGAGTTGGAGATGCGGGGTGTCTCAGCAGCAGAGGCTGGGGATTTGCAAGCCGCACTTCAACTGTTCAGCCAGGCAATCCAGATCCTGCCTCAACGAGCTTCAGCCTATAACAACCGGGCACAGGCCCTGCGGCTGCAGGGGGACACAGCAGGTACGTGCAACAGATTCAACAATAGCCCTTTTTCCAGAGACGCCACAGTGTGCCAGCGTATCAGCCTGCCAAGTCTTAGGCCAGCATGACACACTATCAGAGCTTTGTCTATCTGATGCAGTGTGTCAACAGTGCTGCTGGTGTAAGTTGTGGGTTCGCCCTGCGTTTGGCTCGTTTACCTGCTGTCTGTCACAATGCTGGCTGGTTTGTAGACAGTGAGGTTCGGGGTGTTTTGCTCCAGTCCTATCCATACAGTCTGCAGTTAAATCACTTAAGTGTTCTTTGTGTGCTTCACCTCGAAAGAAATCAGCGTGAGATTTTTTCCCAATTTTTCTACATTTATTATTTTCCATTACAAAAAAATTCTCAGTGTAAATTCCCACAGATTACAGCTAATGCTCACATTTCCTTGCTAAATTGTATTTCTCAGGTTACGCAAGCTCTTTAGAGGATCAGAATATCCCGCGGTGCTTTTACGCTCGCTCCACGGAGCTCAGTTCATCAGTCACACCAGTCACAGGTCTCAATCACACTTGCATTGTCTGTTTCTAAAAGTGGAGTTTCCACTGGTAGGTGGTGCTTTCAAATTCAGCTGAAACCCGGTGTCGCCTGCTGTTCGTTATGACTAACAAGATCTTCTGTAAATTCAAAACACCTACATCTCTATTGAAAATGTGCATAAAAAGTGGGGGGAAAGGGAGTGAGGATAGGCTGAATCACTGTGCTGTAGAGCAGCAACATTCTTATTTAGTACATGTCTGGAAATGTAGCTGAATGCATTTTTATTATTATTAATGTTATTAATAAACTCTCTGAAGATCACTGACACATGCTGACTCACTGTAGTTTCTGTAAAACATCAGGTTGTTGTCAGTGTATGGATGCTTTTTTAATTTCACTGCAATTTCTACAATATGTGGCAGCAAAGTGATTCAAAGTATCTACATTACTCAATCAAATCATGTCTGTGCACAACAATCAATATTGTGGCCTAATGTTTGTTGTTGGTTGTAACATATGAAAGCTCAGGTCATCGCTGCTGATGCAAAACATTCAGCTGTAGAGTTATTGTGCTTTGTTTTACCAGTAGTTTGCCAGTTTATACAGCAGTGAGGGGAATCTTTAAGCTTGTCTTGCTAAGTGTAGCGTACTCCTAGTCTGCTGCTACAGCTCACCCAGAATCACTTTTGATAGAATACGACCCACTAGGGCTGCACCACATCACCCTGCCCTACTACCCATCCATCCATTCATTATCTATACACCGCTCAATCCTCACTAGGGTCATGGGTGGCTGGAGTCTATCCCAGCTGACTCAGGGTGAAGGCAGGGGACACCTGGACAGGTCACCAGTCTATCACAGGGCTACACCTACGGACAATTTAGAACCTGCCCTACTACCCATAGCGAAATCTTGTAACATTGACGAGATGCACTAAAGATCATTATGTTCTCCTGCCAGAGACAAACTTGAAAACAAAAAAAGTAAAATCTCAAAAGCGAATTCGCCGTCAAAATCTGGAGGTCTGTGGTTGAGAGCTTTAGTTTCCACGGTTCCCTTTGTATGTAAGTAAAGAGTCACGCAGTAACTCGGTGATGGCGCCTTGAACAAGGAATTGCTTTGGCTTCCAGTGTTTTGGGAGTTTTGTCCCATTTTCGCGACGATAAGAAAAACTGACTTTAACTAGACTGACTTTAAGGATGTGCAGCATTACAGCCTGACTTCACGGCGCTCTTCTCTCCTCTCAGGAGCCCTGGACGATCTGGACCGAGCGGTTGCTCTGAGCGGCAGCGCTGGACGAACCGCCTGCCAGGCGCTGGTGCAAAGAGGCCTTCTACGTAGACTGACGTGCCAGAACGACGAAGCCAGGGCGGATTTCGAGAAAGCAGCTGCGCTTGGAAGCGAATTCGCTCGACGACAGGCCGTAGCCCTTAATCCGTACGCCGCCCTCTGCAACAAAATGCTGTCGGAGGTGATCAACAAACTGCGCAACCCTGAACTGTCCCAGACGCAGTAGTAGGCAATTTGCTATGTGTGCACCTTTTCTATTATGAAATCAATAAAATAATCTTTTTATCTTTTGATGTCCTTTTACCTCCATTTATCCTGCTGCAAAAAAAAAAAACATGAATCCAACTGCAAGTCACATTTATTCTAAATGTACAGCACAACATCAGCGAGGCACAGATCAGTCTTTTAATCTTACTCTAACAAGTCGTAAGTGTCCTCATCTCAACGCAGCCGCCGCTGAGTTTAATCAAATGCGACACAGAGGACATGTGATTTCATGTTCGGCATTCAAATATTAAATTACAGTTATGCTGTGTGATGTGTTGTCGTTGGTGCTTCAGCTTCTCTCCAGTAGATGTCAGTCTTGTCATGCTGAAACGTTTCTTTCCCATCATGCTTTTTACAATGAGATTGAACAAACAGCCACCAGTCAGCTCAGTGTGTCAGTTCATCTGATAGCGCAGACATTCCTCAAACAACACATCAGTAAAAATTCAGTGAGATTATTTAAGTTTCATTTTCAGCACAAGTAGATGTGTCTTGAAGGATTTTGCCGAGGAAAAGTGATTTGAAGGCAAGAAAACACAGAATGAATAAATCAAATTGCAGTTTATGCCAAAGTAAATGTTTTCCCATGTATAGTATCTATCTGCAGGGCTTCCACACACACAGCAGCTCTGAATATCAGTCTGTCTTTTATACAGCAGCTTTACATGCGTAGGCTTTATCCACTTCTTTCAGTGTTGCGCTTGCATACATTTCACGTCTCAGCGATTCTAAACACGGCGTTCCTCGCGCCGTGGTCCACCCACCGCGCTCTGGGACACCAGCGTTATCTTTTGTGCTTTGGTTCGCCCTGCTTGTCTCTGACCTCTCCCAGGCAGGCCAAAGCCACCGGCTCCCTTTGCTCGTGTCTCCGGTAGAAGGAGCAGCTTTTCAGGTGATCTGACATGGAAGGAGCATCGCTGAAGCTCCATCTGTCCACGCAGGAGAACAGGGGGCTGAATTTCCAAACCTGCAAAAACACAAAAGAGGCAGAAGCTGAAGTAGGTGTAGGAGGCTGCTGTCAAGGCATCTGTCAACCGCTCTGCACTCGTAGTATACAGTCATCGGGATAAATATATTTTTGATATCCGTGGAATCTAGATCACAGGGCCACGATGTTATTTCTGGTTCCATCCGTAGCAAATTCATACAAATTATGCAGCTCATTGGGGGGAGCAAATACCCAGCTGTTGCCCACACAAGTCTTATCAACTTCCGCGTTTCCATGAATGATCACATATCTGACTGGTTATGGTAGCACTGTGTCTGCTGGCAGCAAGGCCTCAGGCCATTCCACATCACTGATGTCATCGGCACACTCTTTGTCCCATGATCGCTGCGTTACAGAGATAGTCAGTATAAAAATATACGCACATGCATTTATACTGCGTTTATCCTTTAATAGCAGCGGCGGAGATCTTCTCAACATTTGTTTGTGTGTGAGCAGGATTTCTGACAAACTAGCTTTGAAAAATTATGAGAGGAAACTAGCTGCGACACTTTCATTTTCACAGCTCACAACGCCGGAACTGTGAACCATTAAAAAAACTTTCTGTGTCATAACAAAGGTTTCAACCTGGCTAAACATGCTGTCTTTTTTTTTTCACCAGCTATATTAATTTCAGCAAATTTGATGTTTGCCCTCAGACGATTTCAATTACTCTTTTATGCCTGCCCGGTTGCCAAATTCATCTGCTTGTGACCATTGATGGAAACAACTCCGCCGCGCACCTGCAACTAAAAGTGACGGATGCTGCGCGCTCGTCTACAGTAACTCAAGGAGTCCTGCACATTTGGAGGCGTCTCGTGACGAGGCGGCGTCACAGAAAAGTGATGAATTTAAATGGTCGCAGCTCAGCGGTCATGAGTCTAAATCGCACACACTTCTCATAATTCCACACTGGATTTTTGGTAAGCTCTCAAACTGAGGCAGCTGCTGGTGTCTGCATGGTTCAGACTCCTGGACCGCAAGGCGTCCTCGTGGCCTAGCGGTGTAAGCCACAAGGTCTGAGGTCCGGCTTAGTGGTTTAATGACAACCAAGCATCCTTGGCTGGATTCCAGGTGCCGCATGTGACCCCCTCCTCGCTGCCATTTTTCCTAAACCTCTCCAGTGTCGGCTTTCAAATAAAAACAAAATTTGTGCTGCAATGATGACTAAAACAAAAATAATCATCACTGTCACATGTGCTGTGTAAGCGGTGCTGCTTGATTAGTTTTTTGCTGTTTTTTGGGTTTGCCTTTTTGTTTTGTTTTCATACTGTGAAACTAAATTAGCATGTTGCAGCACTACATGATATTCTCGCTCAGCTATCTAATTAGCAGACGACTGTTTTGACACCAGCATCCGGAGAAGAAAACTAAACGTTGCCTACACATCGCCGCGGTGCATGATCTGAGAAACAAGCGACTTCTGATGGGAACACAGAAAAATAGTCATAAATCCATTAACTGTTGCCAACACGGGTGTGATTTGCTTTGTAATATTATTAGAGAGGGCCTTTTGAGAGTCTAGAGAGTGTTTACAATGCAGCAGCTGTCATGCTGCAGGAATGACTGAAATGTTCCAGTGACAGATAAGTGAGTGGCAGCAGGTACTAAAGTGGAACTGATGTAGAAGTTTGGCCTTGTGTTTACTTTGCCTTCACTGTGATGAAATAGTGCCTGGTTATAAGTAAAATAAATAAATATAATAATGCAACAGAGCATTTCTCTACTGTGTGGTGTGCAGGAATTAAAGACAGATGATTCACACAAGTCCAAAAATGAGACCAGAAAGGGAGGATACTTGCTTTCTTCCTGCATCTCCAGGAACTTGCTCCAGTGGAATATGTCTTCTTCTCCCACTTGAGGGACACCATCCCTCTCTCCGGCAACAACGTGGCACACACCTCTCTCATCAGATGGGAGACCTGGGCCAGCTGAGACAGTGTAAAACTGTCCAGGTAGCCGGCAATGTGCTGCAGGATCTCCAGGGGCAGCCTGCTGAGGGGATCCATGTTATATGTACCATTTCTCTGAGGACTTAAGCTTTTCCCACCTTCACAGAGAGATGAAGGGACTTGCGGCTGCAGCACAAAGGTGCTGACATCTGGGCAGAATTTTATTGTAGCTTGATGACCTGCTGGGTGAAACCTCATCTGGGTGAAAGTACAGCCGAGGTACGCTAAGGGGCAGCGCTGCTGGAACCAGCCGTTTAGAGAGGCCTGTATGTCAGAGTGCACATTCCTGAAGTGATGGCGGTATTCGTCGCGGCGAAAGAAGTGGCCACACATGTAGTTGAAGGCTGAGCTGGTTTTATTATGCCTGCGGGTGACAGATTCCGACTCGACGTGCACGTAAAGACCACGAGGTTTACCTGCGGTGACCTCTGCAAGGGATGCATTTGTTTTGAACGGAGCGCATGAAAAGCTGTACGTTTGTGTCCCGACATCCACATAAAGACCATCTGTCGACGTGCTCTCCGAGATTAAATGTCCCTTCAGTTCCCTTTCCAGCGAGCACAGAAGCGTCGCGCTAATCTCCTCGCACTTCGGAAGATCCTCAATTGACACTCCCAAATCTGTAGTGTCAACACTCTGGTGTACGGTCTTGGCCCTCTGCGCGGGGTCTTTAAGGTGACTGCGCTTTGCTCGGTAGCTGGTCGGAACATTAAACGTGCGGATCGTCTTCACCTCGATGGGCTCCAGGTTCCCATAAACAAAATCCCTTTCTCTCGGCGTGCAAGCAGGAAGTTGGCCAAAGTTAATCAACATGGCCCCGTTGTGCACCAGATACATGTTATACTCTGAAATGTTGACTTCTTTGCCCAACCTTTCAAGGACCCCGTCTTGCCATGGAGCAAGGCCAGTTGCACCATCCGTGCTTCTGGCAGCAGCAGCACTTTTTTCACCCTGGCGCGAGTCTCTTGTCTCTCCCCGACTGTTTGATGATTCTTGCTCTTTTTCTTTCCCCCCCTTACTCAGGTTTTTGACAGTTTCCTTGCATCCCTCCTTCTCTTTGTTGAATATTTTCTCCCAGGAGTTGTAATTTTCAATACTCGTCACATCCCTGCTCTTCGCCAAGGCGTCTCTCTCCTCTTGACTCGCTTCTTTTTCTTCAGTCTTCGCACGGTCATTTTCTGTAAGTCCGCCGCAATCTACAGAACAAGACGCCTCCTCTGCAGGGCTGTCGACCCCGGCAGAGACGCTCTGAAGGCCACGATCCTCCTCCTCCTCCTCCTCTGCCGTCCACTCAGGAAAGATGTTCTTCATTTTGATGGATTGAAACAGCAGCTCTTGGTCCCTGAGCGCCAACGCGACATCGAGGTCGAGCTCAGTGTTTGCCTGGGGATTTTCAGAAACATTCCTGTAAAAGGTCAGATCGGTTTCTGCAACAGGCCATCGGTTCCACTCCTGAGAGCAGCAAACCACGCTGGCCGGACAGACCTCTAAGTGTTTGGCCAACCTGTTGCGCGGCATCGTGAGAGGACAGCCGTTGCCGGCGTTAAGGCAAGGGACCGTCTCATTGGGGCAGAGAAGCCGGTGCTCCTCTTGTTTGCACATGTGGAGCGTGGCACCGCAACTTTTACGACACTTGACAACCGTGCACGATACGGAGGTCTGCACCGGGGCTTGACAGTGGACGCTGTAGCACTTGTCGCAGTGGTCGTGTTGACCCACTGGCCTCTTTTTAGTCTTCACCTTCAGAGAGGAACAACACAACACAGAGAAGGCAGAAAACATGGGGAACATTTCAAGCCAAGCTATGTTTTCAAGTAATGTGTTAATCAAATTGCATCTTACAGTGAAAGCACTTACCATTGTGGCTTATCAACACAAGAATGTGATCATCTGTGAACAATCCAAGCCAGAAACCCTGTTAGAGTGCATGGTGAAATATAATTCAGATTTCCTCATTATACTGCACATAGCAGCTACTAACTTTGTTCATGTACAGACTACTGACACACACGTTTTAAATGCATGAATAATGAGTGGAATTACATCCCTGGGTTAACAAATGATTTTCTCAAAGTACAAACAGACACAAGCTTTAGTAAAAATAAAAAACACAGTAAGAGTAAAATTTCTCACCCTTTGTTCCTCTGCTGCCTTGTGTTCACTGGCACCTCTGAGTAACCTCTGCACTGCGTCTGGACATTATAAATAGACACAACAGAGGGGGCAGACAGGCCAGTGGGAAGGGGCACCATTGTCACATAGCCATTAAGAGCCAAGGTCAAGTTACAGTCTCCAGCGCTGCTTCACTGTGAGAGGGTGTCGATAATAGCAGGTAATCCAGGCGCTCAACACTTTTGACTACCGTACGCTGAAAAACATCGTCTTAGCATCTGTGTACCCACGACATCAACTCTTCATATTTCATTCTCACTCATTTGCTTTGTTTGTTTGGATCTCCTTCCCAAAAAAATTCTAATAACATTTGATATCAATTTAAAATAAACAAAATTAAAGCGCTTCCTAAAATATACGTTTGCATGATTTCACAGACGGATGCTGTTTCCGCTCAACAAATTAGATCTTAGATGGCTTGATTGAAATTAGAAGCGATTATTTCCTTAATCAAAAAGCACACAGTATAGCCGTGTGTGTGTGTGCTGTTGTCTTGATCCAAGTCGTCCACTAGATGTCAGTCACACTCTTGCAGAAAGTCAAGCAGCAGCAGCTGTTTCTGCTGTCAGCACGGATTAGCTCAGTTCATCACAGTTGCAGTGTAAGATCAGAGAGGAATTTTCATGATGTGTTTTTTTCATTTTTATTTTTTTAAACAGGGGTTACTTTAAATTCTACCCGCGTAGAAAATCGTGTCCCTGGTTGAACTGAATATTGATGCAAGTTTAGGACCCATGTGTGACTTTTTAAGGGAATTAGCTGACGGGAAACTTATCTTCATCAAGCAATGTTTTGGTTCAATATAGCAACTGATGCGTTCTCAACACCTCAAATCATTTACAGAGTAGTAGTCAAACAGGTGCCTCTTTTGATTAAATCACCACTGGGTGGTTTCACAATGTTGAAACCGGTGCTGCTCCACAACAGCAGCAGTCTGTTTGTCATGCGTCTGTCATTCTGTATCGCTTGTCTTGCCGCTTCTGTCATTCACTTGCACACATAATTTGACATCTAACTAGTCTAACTAGCATTACCCAATCATTTACATTGAGGCCGGCTCGTTCCTTTCACTACCCTACAAAAACCCCACAAACACCTACATATTTTCCACCTCATGCAAGTGTTTTGGATCCACAATCTGCATCTGGAAGCCTTCGTGCAAGTTGTACGTGTTGTTTTCTGGCAGAGATTCCACGAAACAGCTTATCAGAGGCAGCTGCTCTGCTTTCTATAGGCTCTGCAATCAGCATACATTACAGGAAGAGACACGCTGTCATCACGGGGAATATGCGAACTGGATAAATCACTTTGTAACCTGGATAACTTAATTTGCACATTCTAACCCCAAACCAAACCCTTTTAAACAAACCAATCTGTCCAAACCTCATCCACACCTTACCTTTAACTCGAGCTTTCAATAAAAGCTCAGCCACCCATGGTCCTCTGACTCATACACCCTCCTTCTGCCTCTTCAAGGCAACAGGCTTTTGCAGTGGGGGGTTGTTAGGACACTGCAGGTACTTGGGAACATGCAGGACTTGAACCAGGCGCCCCAGAGCCAGCCTTAAATGGTCACAAATTAACCCACCTCACACTGGGAGCCTCTCGCTTTTGGGTGTTAGACTTCAAAGGGCTACAGACTCATCCAATTGGAGCCCACAGTCTCCGAGACCCCGAGCACTTCTCTATCAAGCTGCCCTGCTATTAGTACTGCCGTCTGGATGCTTATCGGTTGGGTATCAGACTTCAAAAGTGACACTCTCATCACATTCGAACCCATAGCCTCTGAAACCCCAAGCAGCTCCGTATCAGGCTGATCAACCATTTGAACATCTTTTGGGGCAGTTTTTAGTTTCTACTTTGGGTAATAGACTTCAGAAGTCACTGATTCTCATAAGTCCCTGAAGCCTTCAGCAGGCCTCAACTGTTGGGTCACAACATTTCACCTGCTCTCCATATAGTTTTCAATCCCTTTGTGTTGGAAGTCAAAACTCACTCATAAATAACCAAATCCACAGACTCTGAGACCCCGAGCTGTTGTCTGTCATCCCACCACACATATGTCAAACTGAAGGCTCGCCGGTCAAATCACTTTATGTGGCCCGCGAGAGACAATTAATGGGATTTAGCTGATACAATATAAGGTAATATAATGTTATAATAACGCAGCAATGTGCCCAAACAGGGCTCCAGAACCAAAATGTTCTCATATGTGACCATTATTGAACGAGTTAAAGTGTCACGTGGTCACATGGTCATCAGGCTGATCTGGTTCCTTGTATCAGCTCAGGTAGCTGCTGCTCCAGGTACTGTGGCTGGAAACAGTCAGATTACTTCCACGTTGACTCAGTCTCTCTCTGCCTGAGAGTCAGTTTTGCTGTTACCCTGTTCCAATGACTAAACGATGCATAGCCAACCATGTTTAAAAAAATAAATAAACAAAATAAAGCGAGGTGAGAGAGGAGAGGTCCAACACACCTGATGATAGAAGTGTTCAGGTGCAGGCAGACAGATCTCCACTGAGTCAGTAGAGCCACATTCAGTCTGGAAGGTTCACATTTTAAGAACGATCACAGTTGTGACTCTATAAACATGATGACCAGTGGTCTGGACGTTTAAGATGCGCTCAGCTCGTAGAAAAGTCCGTTCATAAAAAAAACAAATTTAAAAAAAACTCTGCTAAAACTTTTCAACTTGTGCAAATTAGTGTAGAACGCGATTTCCACTGTTTTCCAACAAATGTTTGGTCGCTCACCTGTCAGAGGAGCTGCACCGCAAACACCTGGTAGCATCTACCGGAGTAGCATGTGAGGCGTTCAGGGAACATCTGTAACATGCAGCATCTACCGTAGGAGCATGTGAGGCGTTCAGGTGACATCAGTGAAATGTAGCATCTACTGTAGCAGCATGTGAGGCGTTGAGGGAACATCGGTACAATGTAGCATCTACTGGAGCAGCATATGAGGCGTTCAGGGAACATCTGTAACATGTCGCATCTACCGTAGCAGCGTGTGAGGCGTTCAGGGAACATCTGCAAAATGTAGCATCTACCAGAGCAGCATGTGAGGCATTTAGGGGACATCAGTAAAATGTACCATCTACCGTAGCAGCATGTGAGGCGTTGAGGGAACATCTATAACATGTAGCATCTACTGGAGCAGCATGTGAGGCGTTCAGGGAACATCGGTACAATGTGGCATCTACCAGAGCAGCGTTTGAGGCGTTCAGGGAACATCGGTACAATGTAGCATCTACCGGAGCAGCATGTGAGGCGTTTAGGGGACATCTTTAACATGTAGCATCTTCCAGATTAGCATGTGAGGCGTTCAGGGAACATCTGTAACATGTAGCATCTACCGGATCAGCATGTGAGGCGTTCAGGTAACATCTGTAAACTGTTAAGCCTGTGTCCAGTTAATGACTGATATCAGAAGAGGATTGATGACAAAAATAAATATATTTTCAGGCTAAAACATTTTACAAATATCAAGACTTGTATCACTGAAAATCACTGCAACATAACTAAGTTATGCAAAAACAGCTATTCATCAGCTGCATGGTGGATTAAAAGCTGTGGCAATGCCGATCCAACAAAATAAGAGGGGTGTCCAAATCATTAGGTGGTGCCACCAATGAAGAAAGTTTGGAAAAGTTAGTCTGGAGCCCTGCTACATGTATTTTACTTTTAGGTAAAGGCAGGCACAATAGTTGTACATATAATAAATAACAATCAAATGCAGAAACAATTATTAAACAGTATGTTAAGGAGTCGCTACATTTATACAGTCTTACAATTACAACTGTGCCTCTGAGGGCAAACATAATGCCTATATGAAAATGAGTTTGACACCCCTCCTTTAGGTGATGGACTTCAGAAGTCACGGATTCTCAAAGGATTCAGACCCAAAGTCCCTGAAGCTCTTTGCAGGCCTCAACTGTTGGGTCACAACATTTCACCTGCTTTCCATATAGTTCTCAGTCTTTACCCTTTGTGTTGGAAGTCAAAACTCACTGAGCCTCATAAATAACCAAATCCACAGACTCTGAGACCCCAAGCTGTTGTCTGTCATCCTAACCTATAAGGTCACACTTTTAACCTGCTTCCTGGATACTTTTCAGTCTTTACTTTGTGCATTGGACTTCAAAATTCATTGGAGCGCCTGGGGATCAAACACACAAACTCAAGACTCCACTTCTTAAACCTTGAGCTACTGGCAAAGACACAGTGAGATTTCTTTCTTTTTTTTTTTTTTTTTTGAGCTTTGTAGTCCTCCCTTAGGACAATATGAGCACACTGAGGCTCGAACTCACAACCTCAAAACGTCAGAGAAGACGACATATTCTGTGAGCAACTGTGTCTTTTTTGCTGTGTTTCCGTCAGAGTTCTTAGAATTTCTTTCCAGTTCTGGACTTCAAAATCCAAAGAGAAACCAAGGATTGTACCGACAACATCAAAAGTCACAGTGGACAGCATCCCTCAGCAAAACAAGTGACTCAAGACTGAACCAGCTGACCAAAACACTGCATTTCAGAGAGGCTTGTAATGCTTTCTTATTTATACAGTTTCAATTAACAACATAAATCATCTGAGGGTACAATATCTAGTAAGATAAAGACCTTATAATTGGTGCGAGCTCTTAAACAACAAAGAAAAACTCCCTTTAAAAAGGAAGCTCCAGGCTCAGGGAGGGCAGCCATCTGCTCGACCTGTTGGGGTGAGGTTAGAGGGGAGAGAAAACGACTGAGAGAGCAGGCAAACAATGCATTAGAGAAAAGCAAACACTGAGGAGGTTGAAGATGTAAGGAACAGATCAGAAACGTGCCGCTCCAGAGCCAGAGATGCCAGCGGAGAGAACAAAACAAACACGAGAAGAGAGACAGTGACATGCGATGGTGTCCTATAAATATATGGCGAGTGAACGAGATGAGACTGGAGAGGAGGTGCTCAGTGCATCATGGGAATTCCCTCCGAGCAGCCTCGCACTAAAGCAGCATAACTGAGGGATCACTCGAGCCGGCT